TCGGCATTCGTTCCTCTGTCGTCGGCGGCATTTTTCTCTCTTTCTCTTTGTTCGGTCCTTGTTCCCGGATCCTGTGTGGCCGTTGAGCAGCATTCAACCTAAGTTATGTAGCAGAGCTAGTCAAGTACCGTTGTACTGACTAGCGTCAGCCCGTATAATTATCTCAGACTAACACTCTAATGTCATCTGAAATCGACCTGTATGATTGAGCTAGCCTATTGTCATTTTGTCGACCAGACTCAATCCGTATAACTGATCAGACATGGTAGTACTGTACCAGCCAGAAACAGCCCGTATTACTGATCTAGTCAAGCATCGCTGCGTTGACAGACTCAGTCGTATAACCGTATTGGTTCGTGTATCTGAATTAGTCTAGCACCATTGGGCTAGTTCCGTCATGTCGCTCCTAAGGCTCTCCATAGCCTTACACCGTCAATGTCCCACAAGCATTGCAATGTCTTTGTTCTTTAAGACGGTCTTCACTCATCTAGAACAGTTATTCACGCTTTCATTCGGTCCGCGGCCACTACTGTTCGACGTCGTCCGCCTCCTTCTCGTAGATCTTCGACCTCGTATCGATCATTAATAAGCACCTTGTGAATTCGAAAGGGCCCTTTAAACTTCGGATGTATTATAATTTCCTGCTGCTACCCGTCGCAGGGTCGCTCGTAATCTGTACCAATACCAGATCGTCGTCCTTGTATTTAGTGGCGTCTCGTCGCATCCTATTATACGAGGGGCACTACTTATATTTTGAGCCTTGGCAACACTGAGTGTTGTCAGGTGCTATCTGACGTTTCCACTAGAAAGTTCGACATTTTTGATCATAACCTTCTTCAGAACGTTTTGTTATTTGAGCGCGATTTGTATTGTTTACAGTCACTTGAAAATTGTGTCTCAGTGAAAAAATAGAATTAACTCGTGAAAATTTTCGTGCAATGATTTATTACGACTTTCGACGTGGATTATCAAGACAGGAGTGCATCGATCAACTTACTTCCACTTTTGGCGATAAAGCCCCATCCTTTGCCACTGTGAAACGCTAGTATAACGAATTTAATCGTGGTCGCCGTTCGCTCACCGACGAAAGTCGTGAAGGTCGTCCAAAATCAGTTGTTGTGTCAGAAAACATTGATGCTGTGCAAAAACTAATAATGCAAGATTGTCATGTGACATACTGTGAGATTGAGACAACCTTACGCATTAGTTCCACCAGCATATATAAAATATTGCATGATCATTTAGCCGTGAAAAAGGTTTGTTCTCGTTGGATCCCACATAATCTGACAAAATCTCAAAAAGATGCTCGTGTCGATTGGTGCAAACAAATGTTTAAGAAATACAAAAAGTGTATAGATCATAAAGGAGAATATTTTGAAAAACAATAAAGTCATTTTCAATGACAAATTACTGTTTTTTTATTATTAGGCTCAAAATATAAATAGTGCCCCTCGTATCTCTGCTTTTGAACACGTTGGTCCTCTTTAATGTGTGCCTCCATGTTTTGGCGTAATTCGTCTAATTTAATTCGGTGCACTGTGTCTTGCACCGCCGATAGGAGTCGTGCCTCAGCAGAGCTCCTCGTGTCGCATCCAATCAGTGCCTTCAGGGGCGTCGTGTTAATGCCCTTGTTATGCGTGGTATTCGGCTTGTTTCGAACGGACCGACGTGATCAACGTGAAGTGTGTGAAAAGGAATTGGAGTCTTATCAATGGTATTCAATTTACATTGTCTTTTCCCCACGGTGTGTTTGTAGTACGCGCAACTTAAGCATGCACCGACATACTTTTTTATGAAACGGCGCATTCCGGCAAACCAATAATTTCTTTTCACTCGATCTAACGTCTTTTCTGCCAAATGCTCCGCGTCGTCGTGGCATAGTCGGCAGATCTGCATTCGTGCATCTCGCGGTACTACACGCTATTCTCGTCGTCTATCCGTCTATACAGCTTGTCGTTTTTCACCGAATATTCATCGAAGTAATGCTTCGTTTCGCTCGTCGGCTTCCCACATAGCAAAATCGATCGGATTCGTAGTATTTGTTCGTCCTTTAATTGGGCTAGTATCCAATCACCTTCTGTGACATCGATATGTGATACCTCTAATTCGAATAGCACGGGATTTCTGCTCAAGGCGTTGACATGTGACATTCTCGATCCCGCACGATACTCTATTTCGAAAGTATATTCCTGCACCTCGAGCCACCACCTACCAATCCGAGATAATAAGTCCTGCTTCGCGAAAGTGACCCGCAGTACATTACAGTCGGTTATCACTTTAATTTCTAATCCTAGTAAATAAACTCGAAAGTGTCGTAGTGCAAAGACAACTGCCATCGTTTCTAGTTCGTACGAATGGTAGTAGCGTTGGTCTGCCGTTGTTTGTTTGCTGTAATAAGCTATTACGTGCGTCTGACCGTCGTTTTTCTGTATTAGCGCGGCGCCTACACCTATTACGCTCGGTCGGTTTACTCGGATCAAATATTACTAGTATCGGCCAGGATGTAATCTTATTCTTTACAGTATTTAGCGTCGTTTCTTGAGCCTCCCCCCATATCCAAGGGACGCCCTGCTTCATCAGCCTTGTCAACGGTTCAACGATCGTGGCGAAATTCTCAATATACCTCCTAAAGTAACTAGCTAAACCTATGAGTTGACGTACTTGTTTCACCGAACGTGGCGATTTTATCTGTAATACCGCCTCGACCTTACGCCGCCCGGGTCGCATTCCTTGCTCATCTATCTCTCTACCTAAGTATTTGATCGGTTTCGCGAAAAATGTGCACTTATTCAAATTGAGTGTTAATCCGTGTGTGCGAAACGCTTTTAATACCTGTGCAAGCGCGCTAAATCTTCTTCTATAGTTTTCGACGGTATTATAATATCGTCCAAGTATGGAAAAGCGACCGTATTTTTTAAACTTCCTAGTACCTTATCCATCAAGCGCTGGAACACGGCGGGCGCATTAGTCAAGCCGAAAGGCATACGCAAAAATTCGTAATGTCCCTCTGGCGTTACGAAGGCTGTCTTCTCGATGGAGTCTTCCGCCATCGGTACCTGATAATAGCCGGATGCTAAATCTAATCCGGTAAAATACCGGTTACCTCCGAGATTATCAATCTGTTCCTCAATCCGAGGCATAGGGTACTTGTCCTTAACTGTAATAGCGTTTAATTTACGGTAGTCTATACACAGTCGGTAGTCATCGTTTTTCTTTTTTATTAATAAAATCGGACTCGCGTATGGTGATTTCGACTCGCGGATAATATTGTTATCTAATAGTTCTTGAATCATTTTTCTTATGACACGCTTTTCAGATTCAACTAGTCGATAGGGACGGTACACGACCGGTATCTCGGTAGTGCAACGAATACTCAATGACGTCGAGTCTGTTTTCCCTAAGTTACTTATCGATGACGAGATACAATCGCTGAATTCTTGGATGAGTTTATTACACGGCTGTTGCGCCTCCCCATCGACATCATTTACCTTTTTGTTATCTACCGCGACTGCATGCAAAAACCCAACAACGCTATCGTCGGTCACATCGTTATTGGTCGGCAACGTTCTAAACGATAATACATTGCCTTTCTTAATTGTCACTATGTGTTCCTGCTCTAAAAAGTCTCGATCGACAATTACGTCATGGGTAAGATAACAATTCGGTACAACTATTGCAGTTACTTGAGCCAATGGCTGCGTTCAGCAGAACACAACTGTTGTATAACGGTTTACTGATGAGTTACAACATGTTGAGTGTTCTGCTGAACGCTCTTATGAACGCTCAGGACGTTCTGATGCTAGTGCATGCGTGATTACGGAAGAATCTACAATTAATAGATGGAAATAGATTTCAAGCAATTATAGTAGGTATGTATTTTCTATTTGTATCTCAACGTGCTGATACGTACGAAAAATTAATTCTTAAGTAATTCTTGATATATATTAAGTTGATTCTACAATGAGTTGATAGTCGGAAATCTTAAGTCTTAACAAGTCTTAACCTAAATACGTGATTATGATTTTTCGCATCTACAACTTATTAATGTATAGAAAGTCGTTTAGCTTGATTAATGGGAAGCAATAAAGTCGAATTTGGTAAGTCTTAAGAAAATCGGTAGTCTTAATCATACAAGTTGTATTGTTTGGCTGTTGGCCAACTTCACCGATTTACTGATAAGACTTAGGACTATCGACTATCGACTCGTAGAATCAGGATTATACGTATATTTTTATGACTTAAGAACGGGATATTAAATTTGTTCATGTTCAATTAGTTTGTTTGAGGATTTTGTAGCGGGATAGAAAATTACTAATCTGATGAAGGCTTTGTAAGTTGAAACATTTGAAATCTAATGTAACTTTAATTAAAATGAATTGTATTTTATAATTGGACTATTATTGCTTGTTATAAGTCTTAATCTTAATTATATTGCGTTGCATTTACACAAGCTTACTTATTCTTTAGAAAATATAAAAATTTGCCGAGCGTACCTCTAAGTTGAAGGACACAGAAATCCTGTGGACTAATATCAGTCAGTCGCATTTTAGTAAATGCATGCATATATGCTAATACAATATAGAAAAGAATTTTGGATAGACAGTAGAAGGTAAGAAATAGGAATAGGCTGATGAATCAACTTAGCTCTTAATATTATATATATATATATTTTAATCTTCTATTGACAGTAAGAAACATGGATGCAATATTATTTGCAATGGATGACGACTTAAATATTGATATGTTTAATAATAGACTGAATATCGCAGTGCTTAATAATGGAATTAATATTGGCATGCTTAATTTTATTATAAATGATATGGTCAATCCCTTGCCAGAAAATGAAATAATCGCATGATGTAATGAAAGACCAAAAAATAAAAATTATTATATTTTGAAGACTATTCCGAGATATGCATACAATTTCTAGAACACTTTCGTATGTCGCGAGTTACATTTGAGGTAATTATAAAATATAGAAATGTAGGAATAAAAATATATTATTACATATTTTATAATATTATGTTACATTATTAATTGATACTTAATTGTAATTAATTTAATTTAAGGCATTATTAAACGTAGTAGCACCTTTACTAAATCCGGAAGAATATGTAGATGTAAGCCCATCAAAGAAATTACTATTTACAATATGGGTTTTGGCCAAACAAGAAAGTTTTTTAGCTACAGGTGACAGATTTGGTTTAGCAAAATCTAGTGGTCACAATATTTTTAAAAGTGTTATAACTATTTTGTCAGATTTAATGCCTCTCTATGTTAAATGGCCAGATGCCAACGAATGTCAAATATCCAGCAATGTAAGATTTCTTAAAAATGTTTTATATCAAAAATTTATTAAAATTTAAATATTATATTAAATTTATTTATTTAATCATTTCAGATTTTTGGGAATCGTTTGCGTGGTTTCCAAAGGGTTATAGGTGTAATTGATGGTTGCCACGTCCCATGTAAACAGCCAGTAAGAAATCCATATGATTAGTATAATCGCAAAGGGTCTCATTCCATTATATTACAAGGTAAATAAAATGTTGTGTTCAAATATATTGACTGCTGTGTAATATTTAATACGCTTATTTTCGCATTTTTAGGGGTATGCGATCATAGGGGAAAATTTATAGATTGCTTTATTGATTTGCCAGGTAGAATGCATGATGCAAGAGTATTCAGACAAAGTCCATTATTTGAAAATATGTCGAATGTAAGGTTACGTTTTATACCATGACAGCTGCACTTGATAGGCGATTCAGCATATCCACTGATGATGAATCTGATGACACCATATAAGGACAATGGTCATCTAACAGTCTCACAAATACGATATAATACGAAATTAAGTTGCATTCGTTCAAGGATTGAAAGATCGTTTGCGCTGTTGAAAGGAAAATTTAGAAAACTCAAATACCTTGACATCTCAGATTTTGATCTAGGAAACAAAATGATTGCAGCTGCATGTACATTACATAATTTTATAATAGATGGTGATAATTTGAATATAGATGATGAAGATTATTTAGAAGAGCAAAATTTACATGAAATAGAACAAGAAGAAGAAGAAGAAGAAGAAGTACAAGAGGCTGTACAAAAGCGCATATATATTACAAATCAGTTATATTTATTAAAACGTATGTTAATAAATTATTAAAAAATCGTTTTATTATCGCGTTTTATCGTTTATCGTTTTATCGTTTTATTATCGTTTTATCGTTTTATTATTAAAACGAAGAATTTTGTTCAAAATATTTATTTTTAAAGCTTTCATCTAGAAAAATAAAGTTTATATCAGCATAATTAAACACAACAATAAAATTATATACATTTAAAATATATTTATTGAACTAATCAACTGAAAATAAATTTAACAAGACAACAATAAATTTACAAATATATAAAATATAAATACACAGAAATAACTACACATATGTGAATCACGGCTCTTCGGTTTTCGGTTGGAGATTCCGGCTTTTTGGGCAAATTTTTGACTTTTGAATTGTTGCAGCAAACAGAAAAAAACATCAGCTATTTTTACTCTCAATTTTTGAGTTTATCTTATAAAAGATACAGTTAAAGATTCTTTCAAAAAACTGAAATCTTGTACTGAAAGCCAAAGAGGTTAGGGTTAGGGTAAGGTAGTAACCGTAATGCAAACACAAATAATTAAATATGATTTAATTTTCTTGTATTAATATTTATACGTATCGTTTTGTAATTTCTGGTGAATGTCCTAAGTATCAACAATATTGTATGTAGCATTTTTGTACACATACTGTGCTTCAAATAAACACTTGCTGTTTTCCATGGTGTTTTCTACACTGGAGGCAGCCATTTTGCTCAACATGTTTTGCTCGCGACTCAGCGTACTTTTAGTTCGCTGGAAATCATGGCGATTGCTGAGTAAATATGTTGAGACGTTGGGTGCGTTTAGAACCGTTCAACAGACAACCATAAAACGGTTGCACAACTGTTGTGTTCTGCTGAACGCAGCCAATGCTTCCATAATTCGAATGTCAATTGGCGCCGATTTCTCATTGGTCGTACTCTGTCCTGCAAAGCCCCTCAATATCACACTCGGTGCTGGTGTGGTTGCTATATTATATCTGTCTACTACCGATTCTCGCAGTAACGTACAATCGCTGCCTGTGTCTACTAATCCCTTAACCTTATGCTGGTTCACTACTATCGTACGCTCGTATAGATTGATCTTGCCGCCTAACCTTTCTACCACGTTGACGTCTTTTCGGAGGGAGCATTTTTCGCTGAGATGCCCCAACCGGTTGCACCGATCGCACTCTACTCATGGCTTTCGGCACTTCCTCGCGATGTGACTTGACTTACCGCAATTAAAGCACTTGATTCGCGGCTTATTATTGTTCGAATCGTCGTTAGTTCTTCCATCTGTCGTGCTCGGCTAGCTCGCGGTCTGCGCATGTCCCTTCTGCGATCCATCCGCGGATTCACCTTTGCGTTCACTCTTATTAGTAAACGCAAACGTCTTACCTCTCTCGCTTTTAAACGGCATATTTCCTAGTGTCGTCATGTGCGCGTACAACGAATTAGGATTCGTATGTTGTGCGGTCCGTACTGTCCAAGAAGACTAGAACCAGGAGAGTCAACTCGGCGTAAAAGCGGTAGTGGGGGTGAGGCAAGAAGTGGAAACGAACGACACCCCCCACTCTTGCGCTTCATCCTCTCTGTTGCTCTACATAGTCGGTTTCAATTCGTGACTGCGCATGTCAACGTACCTTGTTTCTGTTTGATTGAATTTTGAACTAAACATAAACCGTAAAAATTTAATCCGATGTGATTTACGATGCCCAAGCGAGTGTGCTGTGTTCGAAATTGTGACTTCAATCCTGGAGATATAAAGAAAATCGAAAAACAATATTCCAATTTTGTGAGGTATGTACTTTGGGACGATGCTCAGTGAACTACTGAGCATCGTCCCCAA